GTCCAGCCTCTCTTATCTAGGTGGACATGCAAATATATTAATGTGTGCAGACATTAGACACACGTACTACAATGACTAACATTTTAATGGGTACTTGTGTCAAGTGTTGGTAAGGATGTAATGTAACCAGAACTCTGATTCATTGCTGGTAGGAATGTAAAGTAGTACATCTACTGTGCAAAATTGTTTCTTTAAAAGTTAAAAATGAACCTATTATAAAACCATGACAATCAATTCCAAGAAAAATGCCCACAAAGTCATGTGCATGAACATTCACAGCAGCTTTGGTTGTAATAGCCAAAGACTAGAGGGAAAAAAGGAAATGTCCGTGAGCATGTGGCTGCATTAAGAAGCGATGCCTCTTGATACTGCACGCTGGTGTTTCTCAGCAATGAAAAGAAAGACACTCTTTGATACACACAACAGCATGCCTGGATCGCAAAATAACTGTGCTGAGTGACAGAAGCCAGATGCAAGACACATACTGTATGATTCCATTCATGTAAAATCCTAGAAAATGTCAGCATCTATAGTGACAGAAAACACATCAGCAACTACCTGGGGACAAGGCTGGAGCGAAAAATGAATTACAAATTAGTATCAAGAAACTTCAGAGATGTGTATGGTTTGTGATAAGAGTTGTATGAGCCCATAATAAAATGATTTAAAAAAACAAACAAACAAAGGAACTTCAGAGAATTGTTATCTTCACAGTACCGGTGATTTTAGGGATATATATGTCAAAACTTATCAAATTGGATATATTACATACTTTACATCAGCGGTTCTCAATCTGTGGGTTGTAACCCCTCTGGGGTCGAATGACCCTTATACAGGGGTCACCCGATTCATCACAGTAGCAAAATGACAGTGATGAAGCAGCAACGAAAATAATTATATGGTTGGGAGTCACCACAACATGAGGAACTGTATGAAAGGGTCGTGGCATGAGGTAAGTTGAGAACTACTGCTTTACATTTATTGCCTATTAATTAAACTGCAATAAATATGTAAAATATGTAATTCATAAGATTATGTATAAACTAAGATATCACACTTAGTGTGTTTTAAATGAGTCTGTGAAATAGTTTCCTATCCTGGCACAGAAAACACACTTGAGGAGCAGTAGCTGCGATTACTATTACAATTGGACCAGGTCCTTAGGTAAGTACTCCACTGCTTGCAGCGTCTACCATACCTTAGCTTCTTCTTCTTGGGCTTTTTTCACAATGGCTTGTAATTGCACCTCTCGTTTAAATTCGGCATGAAGTAATTTCTCTTCCATCATCCTACGTCGTTGGTCTAATAACTCTTCCTTCCACTTCCGGACGTCCTTCTCCTACACACAGTGAGTTATCCTGTCAGTCACTTCCATGTACACAAGAGTCATTTAGCAGAAGTGCAAATAGATTCCCAGCTTATGGAGACAGAAAACCGAGGGGCTGGAAGCTGTTTCTGAAGCAGTTGTGGTGGATGATTAGGAACACAGAGTGGTGATGCTAGAGCCAGGCTGCCTGAGTGCACAATTCCCCCTGACCTCTTCTCAGCTGTAAAACCTGGGAAAGATTTTTTGCTGATGCCTCAATTTACTTATTTGTACAAATGGAATGTTTACAGTGCCTAAATCATAGTGATTTTGCAGATTAAGTTAATATATGGAAAACACTTAGAAGACTACATTAGACATCGGCCTATATAAGCAGTGGCTGCTAGTCTCAGTGAACTGCATCATCTCTGTATCAGCCTTAAAGTTTTTACAGCCAAACTTCAAGACAATTAAGTAATTTTATCTCAGAGACTGGGAAATGGTGAGGAGGGAAAAATTTACAAAACTATTTTCATAAGAAACATTCTCTGGGGGGACGGACAACAGAAAAGTGGGTGACAGGAGACGCCAGTCAGTGTAAGACATGACAAAATAATAATTTATAAATTATCAAGGGTTCATGAGGGAGGTGAGGCGAGGAGGGAGGAGAAAAAATGAGAAGCCGATACCAAGGGCCAAAGTAGAAAGAAAATGATTTGAGAATGATGATGGCAACAAATGTATAAATGTGCTTGACACAAAGGATGGTTGTATGGATCGTTTTAAGAGTTGTATGAGCCCCCAATAAAATGATTTTTAAAAGAAACATTCTCTGACCGAACAAAGACTTTTTGCCTACAGCATAATAAAAATAGATACGATAACCCACTACCCTCCGCTATCAAGTGGACTCTAACTCAGGGATCCTCTAGGACAGAGTCCAGCTGCTCCTTCGGGTCTCTGGGGTTTTGAACCCTATGGTAGCAGAGTGCCGCATCTTTCTCCCTAAGAGCAGCTGGTGAGTTTGAACTGCTGACCTTGAAGTTAGCACAATGCCTTACCCACAGAGCCACCAGGACACCTTATAAATGACAGAAGATAATTAATTATCTGTAATAATTCCTTTTAAAAACTAAAATATCTAACAAGCGAAGTAACAGACTTGCTTGGGCTGCGCTAGAAAATTAGAGGCAGCCCCAGAAAGGATAAGCTATAGGAAATAAGAGGTTGGCTTCACAGGAGGGGAAAAAATCCTCATCCTATTTTAGTTCAATTTCAGTTGAATAGTCATCTGTAGATCCATCTGAGAAAGCATGCTGGAGGAACACATGCACTCCTGTGAGCCAGCGGACAGGACAGATGCTGAAAGCCTGAGCTCTGTAAATGATCGGTGTGAGGACACCGAAACCAGCCCGCCCATCTCTCCTGCATGCCGCTTTCACAGCTACAGGGGGTGTCAGGTGCGACAGTGAAGCACTCAGCTGCTAACAGAAAGACTGCTCCTTGGAAGCCACTCCCAGGCTGAGGGAGAAAGATTTGGGGGAAAACACCCTGAGGTCTCTAGGGAAGTCAGAGAGCAAGTGAAGCCTGCCAACAACCACCTAAGTCAGTACTGACCAAATCCAAACTCACTTCCATCGGGTCAGTGCTGACTCACAGCGACCCCCTGTGGGCGTCTGGGACTGAATTGTTTAGGGAAGTAGAAAGCCCAGCCTTTCACCCACAGAGCTGCTGGTGGTTTCAATCTGCTGAACATGAGGATTGCAGCCGAATGTGTAGCCACTATACCACCAGGGCTCATCGAAGTGAGTATGGAAGTGAACCCTAAAGCTTCAAAGACAACCTCTTGAGAGGCTGAGCAAGGATCATAAAAACGCACCACTACTGGTTTCCTTGCTCAGAAAAACTGAGAGAAAATGTTGGCGGATTTACACTGCTAAGGTTTGAGGTCATTCACTGCGGAATGGAGAAAGCGAACACAGCCACGATTCAGGCACCATGACAGTGACTGTAACCGGAGCGGCAACTGTTCCATCACAGTTTATCACACGAACCAACTTCATCACCACAAGAGCAAGAAAAGGATACTCATCATAATTCTCCTTGCACGCCAGAGCTTGTTATGTGATAAAACTAGGATGGAAACTTGGTCAGCCATATTCCCAAGTCCCTGTTCTGGCCAGTGCACCGTACTAACTCGTCGTCATCCTGGTCTAAAGACTTCACCTCTCTGTCCTGAAAATGTAATTGCTACCCTGCTTATCCAAACTTGATCATCTGAGGCTCAAAATCATCCTACCAAGTCTTCCTACACTTTGACGACAGAGAGCACCTTGACTAACCCATGCCAGTCAACTTAGTACTTTTAAGAAGAGCAAATCCTTAAGAGATTAGCTTTCTACGCGTTAGTAGTTACCTTCAAGAATCAATGAAAATGTCTTTATTTCCCAGAAAATGTAATTATCTTTATGGTTCCTCTAACGTCTCTCAAACCAGAAAAAAAAAGTCCTGCATAACCTAAGCCCATCAACTTAAGACCATAATTTTCTTTAAAATCAAAAGTAAACATTTCGCTGACATACATACCCTTTCTAACAATTTCTGAAGCTTTAATGTCTTCTCTTCACGTAACTTTTCTCTTAGCTGCTGTGCTTTCATTTGTTTTTCTTCATGTTTCTTCTTTGATTCTGCAATTGTTCTATTAACACAAGCGGAGAGGGGATACACATGTTTACTTGAAAAAGCCAACCAGCACTGTTCTTAGGCTTCAAAGTTCTTAAAATCAATATAAAAAATACACAAAACTAATTTTGGCCTAACGCTTCAGCAAAACATTGCCGCTTTTCAATGGCTCTGGAAATGTCCTGACAGGTAACATGCTTTAAAAAGCAAGTCTACGTCACAGTCAAGAGTGACTGACGTCCCTCCTGCGAAACAGTTCAAACTACCGTTCGATGGCCAGACCTTTTCCGAGACGGGGAAGAAAGTTTTTCATGCATGTGGATTCCGTGCCCCGGAGGCCTGGCAGGCTCCTCCTCTACAATATCCCCCCAGGATGTATTTTGGCGCCAAGATTCACGAGCTGTTAGGAAAAAACAAAACCATGGTTATTGTTTAATCACATAGTCCTATGAAACTAGCATTTTTAAGAACAGATGGTTGAAAGGACACCAACATTCCCATGCCAAATTATTCCTTGTATACAGAAATGTCTTTTAACAGATCATCTATGTCATACTCCTGCACACATGATGGTGCAAACGGCTAACACACTTAACTGCTAACCAGTATGTTGGAGGTTCAAGTTCACCCAGAGGTGCCTTGGAAGAAAGGCCTGGCAATCGACTTCCGAAAAACCAGCCATGGGAAACCCTATGGTGTAAAGTTCCGCACGTACATGAGGTTGCCAAAAGTCAGAATGCACTCAACGGCAACTGGTTTTTACATACACAGAGATACACACACACGGGCAATACCTTCATAGTCCGCAAGGACTTCATTCCAGTCCATAGACAAACCACAGACAGTTACACTCCCACTGCCCATGCTGGCCTAAAACGAAACAGGGAACATTGAGAAACGAGCCTCTGAATGCAAGTAACACCTTAAATAATGACCTACAGCTGCGATTTCCCTACTTTTCCGAGTATGCTTCCTTCGACCAACAGTTCAAAGATACAGGCTACAGGGAGACACAAACCTCCTATCGTCACAATAAGCACCAAGTTACAATTATCTAGCCTGCTTTTCAAGAGGAAGACATGCTTAATTGCTTGTTCAACATCAAAGACAAAGCAAGGAAACTTTAATAAGAAGTAGAACGACCTGATATGAATGCTGGCACACCACAGAATAACTTCTTAAAGAGTTCAAGATTATTTGCTGGGCATTAAAATAGACAATTAAGTGAAACCACTACAGGTATTTTTATTTTTCAATAAATCATCCTCTTTCACATATATTTCCTGAGCACCTGGCCAGAGCAAGGCAGTTATCTTTTTTTTTCTTTGTAAGTAAAACAGAAAAGTAAAATAGCCTACAATTACAGTTTTATGTCACTACAAATTACAATCATGTGTTATTTTTTCAGAAATTTATTTTTTCTCTGAAAAATGAAATAACTTCTAACTTATCAATTACATCATAAAATATTTATAAAACTGCTAAAAATGTGTGCTGTAAGTCTCAATTACACAAAGATTAAGGTTATAATAACTATTAACACTACTAAAGACAATTTTTAAATAAATAATTTAACTACAGCTAGAGAGACTGTAAGTACTTCTGGCCTAAGAATTTTTCTTTCTAAGTATAACTTTTGAACAATTCTGTTAAAATTTCTCACTGAAAAATCACTGTCGTTGTCAGTTTCGATGTTGATATCATTGTTTTCCTCAGCCTCAATTTCTCTAGTTAACTGCTCCTCTTCAGCAATGGCACTAGCGATGGCTTCTTCATTGGCCTTTTCTAGACGATCTGCCAGCTCTTCTTTCTTAGCAAGGACTTCTGCCATGGACTAGGGAGTTACAGACAAAAGCAAGAATCATCCCTGGCCGTCCAGTTAGATCATCACTTCTTCCCTCATGCGCTAGTCATAAATAAGCACAACAGGGCTGAATGAAGAAGACAGCACTGATCCAAATTCATAAAACCTGCGGTCCTCTTTAAGCACCACTTGTTAGTTGCATGAGTTACAAGTTTCTTAAAACAAACAAACAAAAAAGGAAGCCTGTTTTGTAACCCATAAAATGGGGCAATAACCCATGACTTACCTAATTTATAAGACTGTTGTGTATGAGAAACTGCGAAACTATAAATGTAATAAGTTATACTGGGGACAAACTGGGTTTCATTTGAGCGCCAAAGCTAGAGCAAATATGCTCACTGAGTAATAAAAGACAAAATATATATGAAATAATTGGAACACAGAATTTATTCTGTTATGTGGCAGTACTTTCTGAATATATAAACTTAACTTTAAATTAAAAATCATAAGCAATATTATTTTTATAATAAGCATCAAAACCATAATTATTAAGTCATTGTGATAAGCTAAAGATGTACACCGTAAACCCAAAAGCAGCCCCTAAAGTAACCAAGCAGTTATAGCTAATATACTGACAAAGAAGATAAAATGGAATTACAAAATATACTCAATTAGTCCAAAAGGAGAGAGAAATGGAGAAAAGGAGAGAGAAAAACAGGTAAGTCAAAGAGAAAACAAATAGAATAGTTGATTGAAAATAAACTATATCAATAATCAGCATATTTAAATACTTTAAACAACCCAATTAATATACAAAGATTATAAAGTTAGGATTAAAAACCACGATCCAGCTCTATGTTGCCTATAAAACACCTAATTTAGGTATAGGAGTACAAAAGCATTAAAGATAAACAATGTGCCATGCTAACAATCACCCAAAGAAAACTTAAGTGGCTACATTAACATCAAGCATGGTAGATTTCAGAGCAAAAAATTATTACTAAGGACAGAAGAACATCAGACTGTAGGTCAACCCACTAAGACAATATAATCCTAACCATTTATAAAGTGAGTAACAGAGTGTGAAGATCCATGATGCAAACCCTGAATGAAGTACAAAAAGAAAGAAACCGGTGGAAACATGAACTGCTAGAGTACCTTCACGAACATCCCGACAGTTACTCAAAAAGACCCACCATCCAGGTCCACCGGTCCTGCAACTCCACTCTACCGTGGTTGCCAAGAGAAATAAAACCATATGTCTATACAAACACTTGTACATTGAGTATTCATAGCAATATTTTTTCATAATTGCCAAGAATGGGTAAACAAGAGACAACAGAAGCAAGATCCCGGAACCCTGCTCCTGACTTTCTTAGAGGAACTTTTTGAAAAAGCAGAAAATGACAGTATTAGAGAGCCCTGATGGTATAGTGAGTTACATGTTGGGCTGCTAGCCACAAGGTCAGCAGTTTGAAAACCACCAGTGTATCCGAGGGAGAAAGAAGAGGCTTTCTACTCTGTAAAGATTTAAAGTCTCGGAAACCCACACGAGCAGTTCTGCTCTGTCCGACAGGTTCACTATGTGTCATAATCAACCCCATGGTTTGGCTTCCAACCTTGTGATAACTCTGTTCAACAGTCCGGGTAGCGTGACATCCACGTGAAGACTGGTCAGAGGCTCAGAAGACTGAACAAATGTGTGGTGTTCCTTATGCCTCCCCTCTGGCCCTGGTTCAGCAGTCGGCTTTGAAGTGGCAGTCTTGCTTCCAGCCTGAGCACTTGGCCCTGGGTTCTGAGTTCACTTCTTTAATAAAGTATGGTGTCTACCTATTGGAATCAGTCTAACGAGTCTCTGAAAGATGAAAGAAAAGCCCTTGTTTCTGTTTTGTCCACCTTGGAAGTTTCTCAGAACACAGAAGTAGCAGACAGAACTTGAGACTGAAAAGTGATGTTAAGAGCAAGTAGCGGCCTGCAGCAAATGAGGGTGATGGGACGACAAGGTCAAAACCTGGGAAGAGAATTTGCTGGGAAAATGGGGACATTTAAAGGTATCAACGCATATACAATATAGAGAATAAATGTATGCCCAGGGCAAGCCCTGAGGTAATCCTAAGCTTTCTCCTCGATAGGCCTCTTCAATATAAACCTCGTTAAGGACTGTCCTAGCACAAAGCCGACTACCAGAGATCCATCCCTGAACCCAAATTGTTTTCTTCTGTTTATTTCAGCACAAATAACTAGAAAAGTCATCCAGGTAACAGGAAAGAAGGAATTGAAAGAAAAAGTAAACGCTAAGGTTTGTAAACTCTTCCCAAGTAAAGGAAAATCATGAGTTCTAAAACTATATTATGATACTATTTTTAATTATTATTTTATGATATTTAAATATTCCAATTTCAATAAAAATCTGCAAGACACACAAACAGGAAAGGCAGACCCAGTGAAAGAACTAGAACAACCCAACAGAAGCCATCCTTGAGGAGGACAAGACACTGGACCTACTAGACACAAATTTAAAACATACTTTAACTATGCTCAAAGAATTAAAGGAAAATAAAAACAAACAGCTAAAGAAAAGAATGTATAAATATTGTATTTATTTATACAAATAAAGTATAAATATTAACAGAAATTATTTTAATAACAAACTCTAGAGCTAAAAAGGGCAATGAATGAAATGAACAAATTCATTAGATAAGTTCAATAACAGATATAAAATGTCAAAAGAAAGAAGCAACACATTTCAGATAGATCAAAAAGACAAATTAATGAAGAAAAATGAACACTTCATATGAGATCCATGGAATACCAATAAGAATTCAATATATCCATTCTGAGTCTCAAAAGGAGACAGAATATTTTAAGAAATAATGGCTGATATATGCATCTAACTAAGATTGTTGGTCTCTTCCATCCAGAGCAAAGGAGACTGAGAAAAGTCAAAGATTCAAGGAAGCAATTAGTCCAAACAACCAATGGGCCCCCTGAACCCAACCACAGCCTGCTTCAGCTGGAGCCCCAGCGCTAGGCACTCTCTGGGCACCGCTAACAACCTCATGACCAGGGACACAATAGCAGAGCCAATGAGAATGAAAGAAGAATTTACACATGTAAGATACAAGGAAAACTGAAATACCAGAATATCACGGTGATTAATTCTGACAAATAAGGGAAGCACTGTTACCCCCTCTTCACAGTAATTCGCTCTAGCTCAACACATGTAACCCAAACCATACGGGGATCCAGAGAAGCATCTCTGCCAAGACAGCCCAATCGTTACAGAAACCTTGGTTTAGTGAGAACACCACTAAGAACTCTAAGAATACACTAGTATTCACATTTTAGAGTAGAACTCATTTGCTTGCAAGTATAGAAACATAAACCTCAAAATAATCAAAGGATTTTTATGATTCTACCACACGTTAATGAATATATTCAAAATAAAAAATGAGGTGAGCATTTTATTAAAAATTGCTTAATGCTTATTTACATACAAGAGCTTTTTTCTCTTTTACTTTCTCACAAAATCATAATGAAGTATAATTTAATATATTTAGTATGCATACAAAAGTATTAATATATGATTAATTTCTATCCCATTAATAAACTAATACTTACATGACTATAATTATGTTCAATCTTTAAAAAGTTAAGCACTATCAGATACAAGTTCTAAAACTCTTATTGAGAACCTAAATATTTGTTTTTTATTACTAATTTTTTCCCATCAATTTCTTTTCCGCCTTTTGTCCCCCTATCAACTTTCATCTATAGCCACTGTAATTCTTTTCTAAAATATCTATAATTTGACCTAAAATCACCTGCAGACAGTCTTTCAGCATTATAAGACATTACGTTTTGAAAGAAACTACCCACCCACTGCCACTAAGTCAATTCCGACTCACAGCGACCCTAAATAGGGTTTCCATGGCTGTTAATCTCTCCCAACAGGATAGTCTCATCTTTGTCCTACAAAGCAGCTGGTGGGTCTGAACTGCTGACCCCCAGTTAGCAGTCCAATGTTTACTCAACAATGTCACCAAGGCTCCTTAAGAGAAACAGCAGTGGTCTTTGTTTTAATTTCTTAACAGCTGCCTATTTCTGTGGAAAATTACTTTTAAACCTAGCTAGCATGTCCAATTCTGAATTCTCTCCAAGATAATTTTCTTAATACTACAGGGAGAAACAAGAAGAGATAAGCAGAAATAGTCACTCAAATATATAAATCATTCTAAATCAGTGGTTCTCAACCTGTGGGTCGTGACCCCTTTGGGGGTTGAATGACCCTTTCACAGGGGTCACCCAATTCATAACAGTAGCAAAATGACAGTTATGAAGTAGCAACAAAAATAATTTTATGGTTGGGGGGCCACCACAACATGAGGAACTGTATTAAAGGGTCGCAGCATGAGGAATGTTGAGAACCACTGCTCTAAATGAATGTATTTTTAGACACTCAAAAGCAGCAACAGGAAATACACTCCATTTGAAAGACCAACTCCAGGCAAATTACAGCTGTATGAAGCACACTGTCAAGAATTACAAAACTAAACAAGTACCATTTCCCATCTAGCAATGTGTTAGAGATGTTGTGTGAACAATTTTGCTATTGATTTAGACTAAAAAGCATTAGATCAAATCACATGATTTTTAACAGGTTATTTAACTCTTAATCTCACTTTCTTCCTCTAGAAAACAAGAAAACTCTTAATTATATCAAGAGGTGGTGATACAAACAAAATGTTAAAATAGCATGCATAAAATCTTTGCCAAATGGAAAGTCATGTACAATGCCAGTTATGATTATCGTTATTGGGGTTTATGCCTCCTCAAAATATTTACCCAGAATTCCGATAAGTTGTTCTTACCAAGTTAGCAGCACTCACATTTGAGATATCTGAAGGGTCCATTTCGTTTTCTATCCTTGCTTTCTCGGCTGAAAATGTGTCTTCGTTTGTTTGCAGAGGATGTGTGCCAACAGCTGGCTGAGTCACTGAAACACACTTGGCCTCAACGTGCACAGCAGGTATTTCAGAAGTGCATACAGAAGTGTCTTGTAAGAAACCACCGCCAGTGTTCCTGACATCATCCACTGTACTCGCTGTGAACTGACAAAACACATTGACAAAATGAATCAGAGTTCGGGACAAACACTCATCAATGGCTGATCCTGCTTAACCTAACACTTCGGAAACAGTACTTAAGCATCGGATACACTACTTACCCATCAAGTCATCTCTCTCTGTATGTTTCAATTATAAAAATAGAAGGGAAAAAAATGAAGCAGTCACAAATTTTAGATGCATATGTATTATACATGTTTTACTAAAGAATATGAAGCTTGTTCCCTTCAGATAACATTAACGCAATCGTCAAGTACCATTGATGAAAATGCATCTGATGGACAATGCCAATCCTCAGGTGTATATAGCAAAATTTTATCTGGGTAGCTCGCTGTGCAATTCATATTCTTTACATTTAGATATCCTTCCCAATCATTCTTCCTTAGGAATGTTTAGCACAAAACCAACAGAACTGTGAAAACAACCTAAAAAAAACAACACTGGTTTTGCTCAAATACATAATCATTTAATTTATTCTCTTTTTTTTTTTACAGTTTAGCAAATAGATTTGAGCTTTTATATCATTTTATGTGTAGCTTTAGTCTATGCATGTTCAAGTTTTTCTTAAAATTATATTCCCACACACGTACTGCTAATACTGCTAATACACGTACTGCTAATATTTAGGACTCTGCTCTATATTAAGAAGGATGTTTTTCCACTATACTCAAAGAATAATGTGCTCCAAATTGAAGAACTAAGATCTAAACTTAGTGAATTTAAAACTCACTGACATCACTTCTTAAATAAACATCAGATAAGCATTGCAGGGGCCACAAACCCCCCCGCTTGATTCGTTATTTACATAAACATTATACTTGGCCAAGTCTTATAAACTACTTTTAAAATTCTATTATTGGTCAGAACTTAGAGTGTCCCAAAGTGTTGATTTTACCATAAGCATTATTTAAATTTTATCACATTGTTTATATTGTGATCAACATTATTTATATGTCAGTCACCAAGTTTTATAATCTTCTTGGCAATATTTATATTAGCATTACTGATATTTACAATATAGTCAACCCTATTTATTAAAAAATAAATATTATTTATAAAACAAAATCAAAGATAAAACTATAAAGTAATGCTGACAAGATATAAATATACTAATTCCATGCTTAGAAGAACAGTGGAGATAACAAGTATTCTCATTAGGTTGGCCAGCATCAGCAGTGGATGTTTACATTGAACACTTTAGCAGTACTGTAGTGTAATTACTCAAAAGTTCTATGCATGATTTATTCCTGAAAGCCTATCATATAAATTTATTCACAATGCAAAACCAATGTAACTTTCATATTACATTTTTTAGCTAAAATATGTTAATAAAAATGCTAGCTTTTGCTAATACAAAAGGTTGGTTCTTTACCAAGTACAAGCTATATACTTGAGTATAAGCTGACCCAAATATCAACCAAGGCACCTAATTTTACCACAAAAACTGCATTTAAAATGTGCCAGAAAACTTGGCTTATGCATAAGTATAAACGGTAGCTTTAGCCTATGCATGTTCAAATTTTTAAAATTACATTCCCACACACATACTGCTAATACTTCTGGGTATCTAGGACTCTGCTCTGTATTATGGAATTCTTTTTTAAATGACATAAAACACTGCCTGCAAGAAGTTTCCAAGCTCACATGGGCATAAAGCATATACAATGTACACGTTAAAGATTTATAGACTATCAGGAGCAGTATAGGATTAAGAGTCATTACTATGAAGGAAAACAATAGGATAACACTCCAATAAAAATAAATATTCTGAAGGTCTGAAGAATTTTAAAAAGCAGACACTTACTCTAGACTACATAATATTTTACTACTTACTTACCTAAATCCTATACTATGATATCAAAGAATAGCTCCTGTATTTCACTAGTCATTTTAAAGAAAAATTAAATTAATTGCACATGAATCTTTAAATTAATAAATATCTAAAATTTATACTTAATCAATTAAATGAGTTTCAATGAGATTAACAGGATCAATATTGGGAATATTAACTTTAAAATTTTTTATTAAGTATTACCAAATTGCTCTATACATACTTGATTTTCAGAAAGTACAAGTAGAATAATTTCAAAGTAATCCTTTCATCAACATTTTTAATAAACATCAAATGAAGCTAGAGGGCATCACCTGACCCAAAGTTACCAATAACCTTGGACAAACTGCTACCATATCCCTTTCAATGTGACCCTCACGTTTTTCCTACCAAAAAAAATTGTGTAAGCTAAACTGACTCATGAACGAGGAAACAAATTAAAGGATATTCTACCCCCCAAATAGTCTGTATACTGCAATAATTATTAAGGCATGCTGGGGCTTAGGTGGAGAGCAAATGTTTTGAGAATGATGAGGGCAATGAATGTACAAATGTGCTTTACGCAATTGATGTATGTATGGACTGTGATAAGAGTTGTATGAGCCCCCAATAAAATGATTTTTTAAAATAATAAAAATAAAAATTTTAAATGCTCTTTCTTACACCAAAAAACAAAACAAAACACAATTGTGGTACGTCTCAAAAGTATGGATCCCAAAGTTGTGGT